CCTTGGCGTCATTTCCGGAAATGGCGGAACTTAGATCCTGTAGAGTAATACAATCGGTAAAGCCCTTTACGCACACCGGGTCTGATTTCGCTGGTCCGTTTAAGGTCATGCTCACTCGCGGGTGTGGTATAAGATCCACAAAAGCTTACGTCTGCATTTTCGTATGTCTAACTACTCGAGCGGTGCATATAGAACTCGTTGGTGATCTAAGCACAGCAGGCTTTAGGGGTTCATTTAAAAGATTTATTTCCCACCGTGGCCCTGTAAGTAAATTATATTCGGATAACGGTACGAACTACGTCGGTGCAAAATGTATTTTATCAGAACTACATGAGCTCTTAGCTAGCAAGTATTATAATTCGGAGTTCGCTCACATTCTAGCCGAGAACCGCATTGAGTGGTCTCTAAACGTCCCAGCCGCGAGTCATTTTGGGGGCAATTGGGAGACTAATATTAAAAGTCTAAAGAGTCACTTATACCGAGTAATAGGAGATCAAATTTTGTCCTTCGAAGAGCTAAGTACGGTGCTCGCTCAAATTGAATGCGTAATGAATAGCCGCCCACTTTGTCGTACGTTGTCTAGTGACCCCTCGGAGCCGCTGGCTCTAACTCCAGCACATTTTTTGAATTTAACGCCTTTAAAATATTTGCCCGCCGTAGATATGGATGAGAACAGACTTAGCATTTCCGCACGCCACAAATTATTAGACCGGTTAGTGCAATCGTTTTGGAAACGATGGAGGATGGAATACTTGCATACTTTGCAGTCTCGGCAAAAATGGAACACAGCAACTGAGCCTTTAGCTGTAGGAACTGTAGTTGTGCTCACCAAAGAGAATACGCCGCCTCTCCATTGGCCGTTAGGAATTGTCGAAGAGGTCTTTCCTGGTTCCGACGGAGTAATTAGGGTAGCTCGCGTTAAGATCACGGTTGGGTCTTACATGCGTCCTGTTGTCCGTTTGTGCTCCTTGCCTCTTCCATAATTTAAATTAGCTTTCTAGATTAAAAATTGTAGTTGAATTTAGGTAATCTTAGCGTTAGTTAGTTATTTTGTTAGTTTGATCTTAGCTCTAGTTGTTTTAGTTATTTTTTGAAGGAAATCCTTCAAGGGCGGGGGAGATGGTTGCGCGGAAAACCATTCGTATTTATTTATTTGACGGTAGGCTTGCCAAATCGTTTATCCCTTTCCAAACGATATCATACACATCGGGGTGGTGGGGTGGGAGGTGAAAGAAGATGATTCTAGAATATTACGCAATCATCGCAACCGAAGGAATAAAAAGGCACTCGCGGCCCACGCGCACTCTCTTCCCGCCGCGCTCGTCGTTGGAACCAAACCGCCTAGGATAATAGTGTCCTAAAGAGCTCTTGCCCACGCGCACCGCTAGTATAACCGCTTAGCCTGAAGCAGTCGAGCTCCAGGAAACCCGCCTCACCTCGTGTGAGATATAGTTCCAGAGAGTCTACCCAGAGTATCTTCCAGGAGTCGCAGCATAGAAGCAACACCCCGGTGAGTGAGCATTCCTTACTAGTTACTGCTTGATATTTGTGTCCCAATTTATTTTCTCCTAATCAAGCAGGATTCCTTTCCTATATTTGGCAAATAATAGTTCGTTTCAGGGAAGAGCGAGTGCATTGTACCGCGTGCTATAGTCGCCATTTTATGTAAACGTAGGAGCATTTTGCATATACAGTCCACTTTGGTTAATATCTCGCGTAATAGGTTTAAGGCTCGACCGGGGAATTGGACTTCGGTAGCCTTAGGCTCGTCGCTCCACCAATATGTCTCCTTTATTTAAATTCCATTTTCCGTTGTTCTTTATTTATTGCACAATTTGCCATTTATTAAATAATTTGCATGCAGCGACGCTTGACACGAAAATTGGAAACGAGTGATTGTGTTGACATTTATAGGTGTGAATTGACATGTTAGTGACATAGTAATAGCTACACGGGCTCCGCCCACTCCTTCGTTGTATTATCTATCTAGTATCTATATATCTACTCTGTGCACGATTTATTCATAAGGTTTTTGCCGACTGAACGACTCGTACGAATGTGTACGTGTATAGCAAAATAATAGGCGTTAGTTATTTATGAATGACAATTTAAAATAATGCATTACCATGCATTCTGAATTTATAATATAAAAAGGACAGAATGTTTGATATTTTTTTAAACACCACCTTTCTTTTTCTCACAATTCTTCAATCTTTTTCTTCACCACTCGCCTATATTACTTATTCTGAACCTTCTCCGTATATTTGGCCGTATGTTGTAAAATAATCCTAATTCAAACAATTTTTATTTGTTTGTGCTATTTTTTGAGATAATAACAATAACTTACTCAAGACCGAATTTCGGTCACGGCGGCCAACCTCAACGGGAACTAACCATTGGCGCAGGACAGAATTATATTGCCCAAGTGTACGCGCAAGTACAGGTGCACTCTCTATTAGTACTCACTTTCGTAGTTCAATGGGACTCTAAATCGACACGCCCCAAGAGAGAAGATCAGACGCAGGATCTTCGACTTAACATACTTTCCGAGCCACGAGAGTGAGGCACCACTTGACTCCTGGCAGCTACCCATAATTTATTGTTGGAAAAACTCAATAACAAATATTTTTGGGCCGACCCGGGATTCAAACCCGGGACCTCATGATTAGCAGTCGCACTACTACAACCACTAGACTAACTTTTTGAGATAGCGAGTACGTGAGTAAGTGATTTTCGCGAACACTACACATTTTAATAATACTAGCTTTTACAAGTGTGGAGTTAGGAATGTACAAGATTGATTGTGAATGTGGTCTCTCCTACATAGGACAAACTGAAAGATCAATTAAAACCCGCGTTAAAGAACATATAGCTGATGTGAAGAATCGACGCTCCGGGAATTCTGCAGTCTGTGAACACATACATGATCGCCTCCGTCACTACATCCGATTTGATAGACCACAAATCCTCGCTAAAGAACACCGATTCCTTCCAAAGATGATTCGCGGGGCTATTGAAATCAAAAAACATGCTCATTTCAATAGAGAAGATGGCTGGATGCTACCCAGTGGCGAAGCTAGGGCTCCAAACTAGGGCAAGCCCAGGATATGGTTTTGTTGTTTTTAGCAGTTTAATAAAAATACACCAATCTTGAGCCGTCTCCACTCTTTAGTTTCATATTCAGTGCTCACAAGGACGTGTTTAACAAAGCACACAGAAAGCATACTACCGCTAGATAGATTGTATGACATAATATGCAATTGCACACCTTTGGTGGTTTTGAAAAGAGCCGTTTGAGTTTGCTTGAGATATTTACAAACAATACAATACATGAACAAAAGAAAAGCATGAACAAAGTACAAACAAACTATGTACAAAGTTAAAAATGGACCTCTGGCAGATGTGAAACCTAGAAATTATATATTGTTTAAGTTATATGCATAAAAGAACAGATTACGACAGGAATTAGATAGTTATTATGAGAAGATAAAGCTTTGCTAATTTTTTACCATAAAATAATGACTATTTATTATAATTATAATAATTCATTTTCAATTCATAATAAACCGTACAAAATGATGTTTTTAAACTCATATATCACTATAAATTAGCCGATAGCGTATTTGTGCCATCTAGCGTAATCTTTAGGTACCATCGTGAGAATCAACCAATTGTCGTTCGATAAAATCACTTTACCTATAGAATTAAGTCGATGGCGCCATTAAAATTTTATATACTGAAAAGTAGACAGAGAACCCTAACTGGAAATAACTAAAAGGAGTACTATTCTTTAAAAATCTCAGTACATTCTTCTGTATTCTTTTGATTTATTTAATTAAAATTTGGGCTTTACGTTAAAAAAAGATTGTAACACTTATTTCCTCTAAAATTAAACCTAGGTCTCATACTTTATGCTGCTTTTCAAATTGATATTTTTAATTCGTATGGTAATATAAATATTGAGTTATTAAACCTTCAAATACGTCTAAATTAATTAAACTTTAATACTAAAGAGTCATGTACCTATATTTAAAGTATGAAGAAATGTTTATTGAATATTAAATTTCATTTTTAAAGATTTTTTACGTTTTTCTCGTCGATTAGCACTTCAACACACTTATATTCATCACAATGAACACTATTATCCTCCCATTTTCACTGAAAATCTTCGAAAAAGCATAAATTTTTAATGAACACAACAAAAACAAACATAAACATTGAAATGTGAAGTGAACTTGCATACGAGGGGCCCGCAACCACTTCGCTAGTCGCTAACGCACTCCTAAACAACTTCATGGCAAAGCCAGGCTTGTTGGCTCAATAGTAATTGCTATATAAACATTTCGTAGTTATATTTCATTATAGAATATTTTTCCATAGGTTAGAAAGAGAGCGATCTTCTTCTCGAAAGCCCCGTAAAAAGCCCACGCGAGCGAGGGAGACAACTAATCGCTCTATTAAAACTCACCTTATGACAGCAGCAGTATCGCCACAGAGTATCTTTGTGTAAACGTATCGCTAAGCCTTAGCGATACGTTTTTAGCTAAAAAGCCGCACTCTCTTGCTGAAACTGTAGTTTTACCTGTCTGCAAAGAAATTGTTAAGATAATGTTTAGCCAAGAAGCTGCTAAAGAAATTGAAAAAATACCTGCATCGGCAGAAACGATTTCACGCCGAATCAATGACATATCTAATGACATTAAATCGACGTTGATTGAAAAATTAAGAGTTAGTGGAGTTTTTGCGCTACAATTTGATGAGTCCACTGACATCAGGTCACGCGCATCTCAACTCAAATGTTAGATACATTGGTACTATACTAAGGTTGCTGAAAAAAATCCTAATGTTCAAAAACAGCATTGTTTTTACATAGGGAAGCTCTTATGACGAAGTCTATGCCTGACGTTCTATTGCGCGTTCTTCAAGAAATTATCAAAATCGTCAATTACATCAAGTCGCGACCGCTGAACTCTCGTATTTTTAATGCACTGTGTCATGAAATGGGGGCAGATCATCAGTCGCTTTTGTTTCATACACAGGTACGATGGCTTTCTCGCGGTAAAATACTTTCCCAAATTTATGAGTTGGAAAATGAGACTGAGATGTCCTTGCAGTCCCAGGGTTCAGATTATGCACATTTATTTAAAAAAGAAGAATGGCTAGCAAAACTTGCATATCTGACGGATATATTTGCTCACTTAAATGAGCTCAATAGAAAAATGCAAGGCAGAAATTCCAATATTTTGACATCGTCGGATAAAATTGAAAGCTTTCGCGCTAAATTGGAACTATGGATCAGTCTCGCTACGAATGGTAATAATGAAATGTTCCCAAATGTCATTGCAGCTGACATAGAACAAAAGGTGCAGGCTTTGATTGTCAAACACTTAAAGCTTCTTGCAGAGAAAATGAATTTCTATTTCCCTAAGCGTGATCTGCAACCTATGGACTGGGTTCGAAATCCATTCTCCGAGAACATTCCTTTCGGCCACTTACCAATAAATGAGCAGGAAGAACTGATGTAAATGAAAACGGATCGCACATTAAAATTAAAATTTTCTGAAACTGATTTAGAACATTTTTGGCTATGTGTGAAAAAATAATATCCTCTGCTTTCTAAGCATGCTATTGCAATACTTTTACCGTTTGCAACAACCTATTTGAGTGAATTAGGATTTTCGACTCGTACCACGATAAAAACCAAAAAAAGGAAACGCCTCAGGACGATCGACGAAGAAATGACAGCAGCCTTGTCAGCGATAATTCCAAATTTAGACCGTCTGTGCTCAATTAAACAGTCTCATGTTTCGCATTAAATAAATTTTCTGAAATTTAAAGTTTAGGTTTGTTGATTAGTTAAAAACTGTTTTTTAATTTGTGGTGTACCTCAAATTTTTTTCGTTTTCCTAGGTGTACCTTGAACAGAAAAAGTTTGCGGAACACTGCGCTAAGGCAATACGAGGTCAACGGTCGACATGTGTCGAACAGTGGAGTGCGCGGGAAAATTGAAATAATTTGAAACAGTTTATGAGTTATTTTATCAGTTGATATTATTGATTGATATTAGTGATTGATTCAGTTTTAATAAGGCAAGCCAGGCTTTTCGGCTTTAATGGAAGCTTCGCCACTGGTGCTACCATCCGCTTGGGATCCTATAATAAATGAAATTATATCCCAACCCAAGCATACAACTGCAAGAGTTCAAGATACCATAAGTTCATACTGTGTAGATCGGAACAAAAGTTAAACTTTAATCTATGGTAACCGCGGCTAACTATGACACTGGGCGTTGAACATCTCAGTCCCCCCGTGACCATGGGTGCTGTAACAAAGTGCTCGAAACGTCGGGTATTTAAAAAGTCAAATATACGCGATAAAATCCGTAAAAGCTAGTATTATTTAATTTATTTATTTTCTTTTTGCAGAAAATTACTGTTATATTTCAGATCGTGCTTTCCACATAAAGAGTTTGAATATTTTGTTGAATAATTTCCACTTTGCTTCAGTTACTTGATAAAGTAGCTATGCCAGGGTAGTAGTAGGGACCAACATTCGTCGATTTGATTACCATAAACTTACTTTGATTATCATAAAGTTACTTTTATAATGAAATAAAAAAAATAGTTTCGGGTTTCCAAGGACTCCAGTGACCATTGAACCATCAACGATGGAATAATGTTGCAGCGTGCAGCATGCAGTTTGCTTGGCAACTATGCACTATAAAAAAGAGTATAGTAACTATATCAAAAGCTTTTATAGTAATACAATTCTGAGATTCTGAATTCAGAAAGGTTTGCTTAACCCGTCCCGCTGCACTTTCAACGGTTGACAACAGATATCAAACAATGTTAACCGTTATGGTGTGGTAAAGCCACGCTGTATCTATATTACCACGTTTTCACGGAATACTAGCGTAAAATGTAGCATATAGGCAGAGACAAATTGGTCCTACGTATGCAACGCATTATGACATCTCATCGCTTGATTTATGTATGAAAAACTATAAATTCCAAACACGCTTATCGTATGCAACGTAATCACACGCGTCCGATGCAATGTCGATTTACGATGTCTACTAGATCGGCGTGGAAAGGTGGAGAGGATGTTCGTACGCAGTCCCACTCCCACGCGTACGATCAGTGTGTTCCTAGAACTTACGCGTAGCACGTCATAAACAGATAGGACCTTTGCACACAAAATATTTAAGATGAACAGCTCATCGATTTAGTGAGGCGATCAGAATGTATCTATAATATGAAATGTGTAGAATATCGCGATGCTAAATTATAATATATAGTATGAGAAATGATAAATGGTATATATAGTGAGTACCTATCCATCTATTGCTTTAATTTTTGTTATTATCGTGAAAGGGAGATGACAAAGCGCAAAAATTAAAAAGTAGTTTTTTGTATTTATATTTTAGTTGTGTCATATGAAACATGATTTTATAAATATGACGGAATTAACACATTGTATTCTAAATATTCATGTATTTGTTTGCATTATAAATCATAAATTTTAACAGAATTAACAATTAATTTATTCTGATAAATTTAAGGATTAATAATAAATCATTTTTACATTCACTCTCAAATTCAGAAGGCATGGTATAAATTTATTCTTGGGCGTCCGCTAAAAAAGTGAAAATAGTATATTACGCAACGAGGAAGGAAAGTATGACAGCGCAACCCGCGTGGTATTAATAAGAACGCGGGTACGATGTCACACTTTCCTCCCGTTGTGCATATACTATTTTACCGTTATGCGTAAACAATAGAGCTAGAAATTTAACGCATGCGTATTAAATTAATAAGTCATTGAATCGGAAGTTAATGTGGCGTTTTCGTGCCTGAAAGTAGGGTCGAAATAAGAACTTTCGATCAAGGTACGTATGTTGCAGACGTAGGCCAAGTGCCATTGCACCGCATACCTTGCGTACGTAAGATCGGTCTGTTTCTCCTTTTATGGTGTTGTGTTTCATATGGTGAGTTAAGAGAACCCGAAACTCTTTATACTAGTAATGAGGTAACTTAGCCCTTGCGGGTGATTACGCATCTACATTTTGATTCTTAATCGATGACAGATATAGGTATCATTGGGACACCATAATCTATATACCATCAGATGGATTGTGTGTTCGTTTGTCACAAGCATTCTATAAATAAAGGATCTTACTTGAGGGGATGAATAAATGTCGATTGAATCAAATCGAAATGAAAATCTAAAGTCGTAAGATTTGATGTTAATTGAGTGTTGAATAGACCAATAAAATTATATACCGTATTAAATACTCAAAACACGTACCCTATAATTATAGAAGGTGACTTTTAAACAACCAGCTTTAAGAGCATCGAAAAGTTTAATTCCATAATAGTGATGAAAGGGTTTATTTTACGAAACTGGAACTCTAAATGGTTCACAAAAAATTTTAAACAACTATCATACAATAATATTAATATACTAATGTAATCTCCGTGGGAGCTCAGGGGCTTCGAACTCGCTTTAAATTTCACAGTACGCAAGCAACCGGGGTTCATTCTCACCTGCACCAATGAAATTGTTAATTGAAATTTTAAATACTGATATAACACGTGCTCGGCGAATAAGGAAAACATCATGAGGAAACGCATGTCTGAGAAATAAAAAAAAATAAAATATTTCGAAGACATGTTAAGACCGCATCACGCATTGAGGCAGCACGGCGGACACTTCCTTGCCCTAAAAGCTAGAAGTGAGAGGAGACCTGCGCCCAGCCGTGGGACGTATATAGACTGTAACCTAACAAATCAACACGTGTCGTGTCGTTAATCGTCGGTGCTGTTACGCGTCCCGTAAACAAAACGTTTCAGAATTATATTCTGAACTTTATCTCATTCTGAAATCAGAATTTCATAGGTGTTCCAATAAATATGATATAGTGTTATATAAAATAACTTTTAATGTATTTAAACGTACTAAAATCAGTAATAAACCTTTTCCATATAATAGATTATCAGTCACTTTTGTGCGGTGGATTGATATTCTTATTGCGACAGTCTCCAGCGTGAAACACAATACTTGTGTAGTAAATTATTACACTCAGTGAAGGTGTATTCATTTCAATAACAATGTTCAATATAATTCTTATCTAATAATTCTAAAGATGTCGAAAGTGATTTGGGGTTATGTACACCATACGGTGATATACGGTGATAATAATGAGAAATATATTGTATATAAAAATGAAATAAAAAATATGATTACGCATGTATGTGCCCCGTATTGCGCATATAATGCTGAGATGAGATTCGTGTTGTCCTAATTGTTTAAATACTGCTCAAAAACCAACAAATCATGCCCCTATCAAAACATTAATTATACTCTTTAATATGTCCGTGAACGACATCATTTTTCCAATTCGCTTATTTCTCCTCTTTTAAGAACTCGTTCTCTTTCTTTATGTCTTCATATTGGCTATTAATAAAGGTCACATAGACTTACTTGTCTCAGTTCATTATTAAGAGTGTTGATTATTCAGAGGCACTTATTATAATCATTTACTTATTATTTAGATTTCTGTGGGTAGAAAAGTGGGTTGTGTTTTGAGTGGGTGTTGTTTGATAATTCCACTACACGTGCATCGCAAAGGTGAATAGAAATATTACTCGCCCACGATCTATCATTCTACAATTGGCGTCCCAAGAAAACGCGATGATCTCCTCGCGTCTGTAATTAAATATAGTAAAAGGAACCCTGCAAATAAATAGAATAGCATTCTTTTAGGAGTGCCTGGCAATTGTTCACCTGTAATTGTGAGCTGAGCATCTGTCTCCTTTGAACGAAGCTTTTCACGCAGCAGCTATACTAAAAGCAAAAGGAAAGAGATACCAATATGTATGGATAAGAAATGATATGGCCGAATTTTAATGCAAAAGAATGATGAAGCAAGTTATATCCACGTTAGAAATAAAGACATGTTACAAAAAATATAATAATTTAGTTATTAAGCAAATTTAGTAGTTTAGGATTTTGTGGGTTATATACATGTATGTATTTTATGGAAAAATTATATATAAGGTTCACTCCTTTAAAGTTATATTATCAAAATATGCGTGGTTTAGGAATAAAATCTAACTTTTTTATTCAACAAATTCGTTTGTAGCGGCGCTGTCGTCGCGCCACAATCGAAATACACGCTAAAGTCTAAATCACGCTATCAACATTCCGAATCAGAAACAGTATATATATGTATATAGAACATCTCCGAACTATCACATAGAGTGTTGGCCGCTCCCCGGGCAGAACACCTTGCCCGGCGGGAGATCTCCCCTTTTCCTTCCACGGCCACAGTGGTGACCCCGACGTGATCTGAACACGCAACCAACAGCCTTCGGAAACTACAACTTCAAGCCTTCGTCAATATCCTCAAGAAACCCTACCAGTCACTACTGAGAATCGTCTTCTGCAGTCTTCAGTTCCTGCAAGCCAGTCCAACTTGTCTTCGTCTCGACTCACCGCAGATTTATAAGGCAGACTTCTGGCA